GATGACCTCGCGTCGCGAGGCCCCTGGGGGTGGGCTGCCAGGGAGGCATTGCTGTCAACAGTGCGCCGTAGCGGCGCAGTGCATTATTCAGGCTGCCCTTCGCCCTTGCCTCTTCGACGCGCGGTGACCCGTGGATCCCGGGGCCGCCGGCCCTCTCGCCTCTGCCATCGCATCCAACGCCGGCGTCCCAGGGTATTGCACGCGTTCTTTGCGTCCGTGATGTTGATGTTGACATCATCCCGTAGAGCGTCACTGGTACGACGATGTCGGACCAGCTGCCGAGAGACGCGTTCTCCAGCACGTGGAAAACGCATGTCGTTGCTCGCAGTTGGTCTTGTCTTGCAAGTGACTTTCATAGGCGAGAGCTCCTCACGCCTCGGGTCCCCCAGTTCACTGCGCCCAAGGCTGGCAGTTCAGCAGGGTGCCATGCCGAGGAAGTGGGCAGTGCTTGAATATATGGTGATGTTGAATTGTGTCTTGGATAGGCTCTCCGCTCCCAGACATCTGGCCGCTCCAACTCTTTCGATGCGTGGGCCCTGGAGGTCTGGACCACTTCCCTAAGGTCGGCTTTCCGTCCTGAGTAGTTGTCTGACGTCCCGAGGCCCAGCGAGGGCTCCCAGAGACCGAAACTGGTCAAAGACCCGCCGCTCCAATGTTTTGGAGCGTCGGATCTCTTGGTTGCGACCTTTCAGCTGAGAGCAAGTTGCGATGGCGGCCGACTCTTCACGAGTGCGGGTACCATCCCTCGATCCGCCCAGCGCGGACGTCGTCCCTGTTTCGAGATATGGCCGGTCGACAGCAACACCGATTCCACAAGTTTTGCGAGTGTCAGGAGCGAAGGAAGCACGTACGTGCACATGGATCCACAATGAATTCAGAAGTACGCGGTGCGCGAGCGTTCGTACCACGAGGTTGGCGTCGCGGACTGGGGGGCCGTGTTCATGTGCGTGGCTGGGCGCGTACGTCCTTTGTGGTCTCCCTGGGGCTGACATGGGTGACAGGAAACGGAGCAGGGGTGGGGACAGGAGAAGGGCAGAACCAAACATTTGACTGTTTGTTTGTTTCAACCCGTGAGCTCCAGGCTTCACGTTACCTTCCACGGATCGGCCCTTGTATGTCTTGCATCCTTTCCCGATGGTCCTGAGAACCGAAGTCGGCGTAAGTGAAGGGGCGGGCCTTCTCAGAAGGATCGGATGCCTCCTGGCCTTCTGAGAAGTTCTCTAAGCCTCCCCCGAAGACAGAAAAACCTCTCAGAAGGCGCGGGGGCTTGTGAGAAGTCCCGCCGCCTTCTGAGAAGGCCTTCTCCTTCTCATCTCCCCCCCTCTCTCGCGGCCGACAGGTCCCGAGGGGAACTGCTCCTGGAGGTTGTTCGCCGATGTCGAGCTTCCGGGGCCCTCCTGGGCCCCAGTCGATGGAGGCACGGGCAAAAGGGGGAACGGATGTGACTCACGGTGGGTCTGTCAGGCGATCGCAAACATGGATTAAGGGGGCGTGGATTCGCGACAGGTCCCGTTTCCATGGGAAATCGCGGATTTCCGCCGCCGAGCGAGGCGGCACTGGCCGCATTTTGGGGAGGGCACCTCCCCCGATCCATGGATTTGGCGCGCGGTCGCCAAATCCATGGATCGCTAATCCATGTTTGCGCGCCCACGAGTCTTGGCACAACCACTGCACCTCAGAGCACAACGCTGCGGAGGACTCTTTTTACGCCGCGCCGCGGCAGAGGCAGCCCGCTCGCGCGAACAGCAACACTGGGCCACGGAGTTGCGAACTGGCCCGCATGCGATCGGTGTCACCCCAACATACTGATACTACATGTGCGTGCCCCCCCAGGGGCGACGCGGGCACCGAGAAATCTTAGAGTATACGCGTCGTGGCGGGCGCTTTCTGGCCACACTGCGCGGGAAACGATCTACTACAAGGTGGGTGTACTATATGTTCGGGTCGGACGCGCGCCTCCAAGGAGGACATATCGTATTCGTATGTCCCTGTGCGTCCCGTGCAAGAGTGGAGGAGAGGGGACGGAGGGGCGGCTGCGGAATACACACGAGTCTTCACTATTCCGCACGGAGCAGCACACAGATCTTTAGATCAGCACTCCCCAAACTTCAAGTGTTCGTGAAGACTTGGCTACGACCCAGGACGTCCCAGGAACTCGTCCGTCGAAGCACGATTCGAAACGCATGTTGCTTAAGAGAGAGGTCGAGAGAGAAAAGAGAGGGATGGCCTCGCCAGGCCGAAAGACGTGCATCAGGAGGTAGCTGTCTACCATCACATCTTTCACGAGACAGGAAGGGGGTGCAACAGAAAAAGAGACTCAACCTCACCGTTCAGCGATGCGGAGCTCAAGAGTGCTTGCGTTCATCCTCACCCTTCATGTTGGCGTCGTCGGCCTCGACCGTGAGAGGCTCCGTCTCGAGGCCGCCCTCGATTGTGCTCGAGCAATCATTGATCAGGATAGCCCTCAGACGATTGTACAGCGTATGGTAATTCACCAATTTCAGACGCGCCTCTTGAAGTAGCTTGCCCAAAAGAACCTACTTAGAAGACAATACCGACCTGCTCGAACTGCCACGACCACGGACGAACTCGAAGCTCGGGTCATGCTCATATTTGACACGTTCCAAAGATGGTCGTCTGCTCGAGCGCCTTCTCAGGATCGCACGAGATGACATAACCGTGGGGCGTAGGATCCTGCAGCGCGTCGATGGCAAGGGAGGCGGAAGGTTGCATACCATTGAACACAGAGTCGCGTTCGATCTCCGTGAATTCGGCGAAGCGGAACTCAAGATCACGTAGCATGACATCGGTGGCGTCGATGGTGGCAGCGGCCTCAGTGATCTGCATCCGCTTGGTCGTCAGCGTGTAGGTGATGCCGACTCGATGGTTGTCGCATTTGGGCCCCAGGATGAGGCTAGTTGAGATCCGGTCCTGTGGGGACGACCGGTTGTGAGTATGACCACCCTCCTTCGTGGCGTAGACAAGCGTCGTGATGAATGTGCGGCAGGAGTCGTAGCCATTGCAGGCCACGAAATGTACCATCACGATAACGAACTTGGAGCGAGCTGAAAGCGAACACCATCGAGTGGTTGATCGGAAATTTGAGCCACAAACTACGGCAGACCCTGGTCGTCATTGGTGTCCCAATCTCACTCGAGCAGCATCACTCGTCGTGATTTTCTACCAACATAACGGCTGACGGCCTGGCCCAGTCAGTGCTTGGCGCACACAGTCCCTATGAGATTCCGATTACAATCAAAACAAAACCATTTGCGCGACGACAAAAACATATCCTCACAGTGAGCCCCCGCTGATCATCACTCCAACCCTGCATACCTCCACGTTGCCAATAGCAGAATTTCGGCTTTGACGCTCAGCCTTCGCCAAATTGAGCATGAGGCTTTCCTCGGAGATTGGTAGCAGCTGGTCCTGATACCACCTCGGAGTAGATCGCAAGGCTCGGCCGAGTCCTTGGTCAGCCCGTCTGCCAGCTGACGATCTGCAGGCGCCCACCTCAGAGGGTCCCTGACCTGGACAAGCCTTCGCGAACGATCACCATGTCCACGGCTACTCCGCGGTCCCCCACAGTGGATTGTGAAGAGGCACCTGTGATGTGATCATACGCGCTCGTGCAGTCGGTAGCCGCCAGGCTTGGATGCTTGATGAGCCAGCGCCCGCGTGCCTTGATGTCGAAGTCAGCGTAGCGCCCAAGCCAAGTGGCACTGTAACCCCTCCAGGGCCTGCGTCTCGCCAGCAAGAGTAGAGCTGACCACCCGCTTGCGACCTCCATGCCGCTGGACGCCATGGTGATATCTCGCCCTGCGCCACACCGCGATCGGTGAAGCCGAGGACGTAGCCGGCCTGGGTCCCGTTCTCGGCGGCATTCAGGAACGAGGCGTCGCCATGCACGATGAGGCAGAGGCTCTCTGGCCAGACGTTCCAAAGGGTCAGAGTCATGTCCTTGTGCTGCTGCAGTCGCCTCGCCAGGGCGTTGATGACTTGGCCCACGGTGGGACGAGGCAAGACTTGTTGACCGTGAAAAACCCGAACGCTCGTGTCGAGCCGCGCCTGACTGCATCGCCACCCGTCTTGGCCTAAGAGTCGCCGAGGTCCAGCCACTTCAGCATCAATACAGCGGACTCGCTGTCAGCCACACGCCGTCAAACTGTCACCGGCTTACACTCCTGGCAGGGCGTAGCTTGGCGGATGGTAATGCCGAACGTCTCCTGGTCCTGGTTCAGCAAGTTGCCGCAGCACTCGCCCTCCCCCGTGGTTCACTTGCGGGAGGTCACCACCCACCATACCACCTCAACCCAACCCGAACCCATATTTACCTTCGATTTCCAGTGGCGGGGGGGGGGGGGGGGGGGGACAAATAAAAAACATGTGGAACCCGTACCCCCCCCCCCCAAAGCCGAAATTTGGGCATTCGGGTTAGGCTTAAATCGGGCCTGGCGGCCTGTCCCTCTGCAGGGGAAATATTCCAAAATAGTCCAACAATAGTATGGCGACGATTTTTTCTAGTATGTCTGATCATGTTTGGATTCTTGTTTGAGTATTTGTCATTTTTCGTCCAACATCGGCCTTTAGGGGCACATGCCCGACCTAAGGTTCGGTTGGGGGGGTCTGGTAGGCAGTCAGGACGGAGGCGTGGTCTTGGAGCCTCTGGGCGGCCGCGTCGAAGGTCGGCCCCTGGCCTGCAGCCGGCACGTCGTCGGCGAGGACCACCAGCACTCCGCAGAGTTTGGCCCTGGCTCCTCCTCCTCCCTCCCTCCTCCTCCCTCCCTCCTCCCTCCTCCTGCTCCTCCTTCTCCTTATCCTCCTCCTCCTCCTTCCACTACTTACGCTAGGGAGGTGATCACTGGGAGAGCTCGCGTCTCTTTCAGACGCTCTTCTAAGCTACAGGCGCTGCTGAGGTAGGCCCTGACCAGGACCCGCGGGGTGGGTCTCCTCCTCCTCCTCCTCCAAAGAAGACGCACAGATCGAGCTTGGAGCGCGTCCACGCCTTGCCAGCGTCGGAGACTTGGTCGGTGAGCCATCCTGATATCTTCGAATGCCACCCGCAGGGTCCGCCGACCAGGCCGTACAGCGGCAACACCAGCTCGGCCGCTTGATCAGGATGAAGGCCTGAAGGCCCTTTCCCTGGCGGTTGCTTCGCAACGAGAGGGCCGTCAGGTCGTTTTAAGGGATCGCCTTCCATGAGCGAGCGCACCACGATTGTCACCAATCTGCAGTTTCCACCGGTACAAAGCTGCCAACCGGAAGATGAGCATGCGAGAGTTCTGAGAGACCGTCGGAGCAGCAGTCTCATTCCAATAGTCCAGCTCAAGCGCGTCTGGTTCCTTGAAGGGACCACGTGCCACCCAGCGCGCCTTGACCAGCTCCTTGGCCTCCGCATCCTGCTTAAGGATGGTGACGAACCTCTTAATCTCACCTGACTCCTTCACACTGCAGACGCGCACAGCATGCTTCTCCAGCCAACCTAGCGGCGACGATGCCTTCGGCGAGGTCCGGGCGAAGCTTCTCGGTGGTCTTACGGCCTTCGGCCAGCAGCACCTCGTAGCAGGGACCACCAGTCCGCACCATGGTAGTCAAACAGACGGCGACCATGGGGCTAGCCTCAGGATCCTCGATCGTGGACGACGTAAGGAGGTTCTCAGAAGCACCATTCCCAGCATATCCACCTGACGCAGGTGGCACTACGGCAACAGGTTCAGCTGGATCCGCAGACGATGTCGATGGGCCCTGACACCGATCACTCGTCCTCTTAGTGCGCAGACGCTGTGGCAGCCGACCCTGGACAAACCCGCTGAGACACCACTCCATCCGCTTCCACCGCATCGTCAGCCGACTGCTTTCCGTGGTGGTCAACCTCGATCTCTTCCGAGTTGTCCGACGTCAGGGGCAAAGTGGCATTGTCGACCGACGATGGTCACAGTAGCGGCATATGGTAGCGGTGGCGACGGTGTTGGGATCACGATAACACTAGAGTCAACAGTAGAATGGGGCGCCCCTTGACCCTGATACTCAGCAGACAGATCCACGTGCGTTGAGTTGCCTTGAAGTTCTTTGTACTTCTCTTGGGCAGCCTTGATCTTCTGTCGCACGTGTTGGTCGGCCCACCCCTACTCTCGATTAGAACTCGAAGGTGTTCGGGAGTTGCCCTTATAAGCGCACCAGCATGTGATGGCCAGCAGTGCCCCGTTGCCCCGCCCACCGCAGTCGCCCGGCCATGCCAGCGAGCATTGTTCTTGCTATCCGTATGTCGTCCTTCTCCTCGACCACGTCGCCAATAGGCCACGCGATCACCAGCTCGGAACGGTCGTAGAGGTCGACGCCAAGCATTGGGGTGAACTCGCATCGCCCCATCGTCAGTATGCATCAGGAAGGCCGTGTGGACGGCAGTTCTGACGGCGGTCGACTTCTGATAGAAGTCGTTGTGCTTGGCCAGGATGTTCGCAAAGGAGCGGGGTCGCCCTGAAGCAGATCAGCCGCTAGTAGTGGGTCGCGGCCGAACACTTGGCGATGAGGATTGTAGCCGTGCTTCCGAAGGAGATGGTTCTCCTGGTCACAGACACCCACGACGCCCTGCCCCAGCTCTCGGTCTGACTTCGGCTGGACGGAATCGAGGACCTTGGCTCAGATGTTGGCGAACCATGAGCCGTGCCTCTCGGTCTTGCCAGGAAGCCGGCGCGCCTCGCCAAGGGTGGCCTCGAGGTCCGCGCCGTCGACTTGCGGCACCTCGACCATGCTGTTCCCAGCGTTGGCACGAGCCGAGTCGCATCGTGCCTGAACTGGAGCACCGTGCGGGCGACGCCACCCAGCATCCCATGCCTCTCCGGGGTATCGCCGCGGGTTGGGACCGTCGCCGACGTTGGGAGCAGCCCATGTTCGCCCAGAGATGCAACATGGCAGTCCCTTGACGTCGAAGCCGATGTCGAACAGAGCCTTCAGGCCACGCGGCGTTGCAGCGGGTCCTGTTAATCAGGGCGCCCTGTTCTCCTCATGCTCGTCGCATTTCTACTGACGAGCGATTTCCGCGTGTCAAAATACGCAACTGATCACCAGTTGCCGTGTGGCCCATGCCGACACGGATGTTCCGAAGTGCCGTATCCAGCTTTCGTCGTCGTTCTCGAGCATCCGTTAAAGAGCCTCGCCGTCGTCCTCCTGCATGGCCTTCTGCCTCTTCTCCTCGGTGGCCGCGAAGACGTCTGCCGGGAGAGTTTCGTGGGGGCGCTGCTCCAAGATGCCCTGCCACAGATCAGGAGGGGAAAAAAAGCACAGGCACAATTAATCGTCGATTCCCTAGAAAATTTGTGTGTCCTGGGGCCCCTTCAACAGAGCGTCCCGCGCACGCAGCGATCCCTCAATTTCCATCTCCGGGACCAGGGCTGCCATCTCGTGAGGCATGCTCTCGACGGTGGTACGAGTGAGCTGCGGCGGATGCTCCTGGGAGGCCAGACTCCGACGCGTTCGCCTCCAGCGCCTCCTTGGATGGTCTCGTGCGTGTGATCCCGCTGGCATCGCTTGCTGAGCAGCTGGGTCAAAACGAGACTCGACCTGAGGAAGCTGAAGCTCGTCGTCTATGGTTCGCCATTGACCTTGTCGCGACAACCGCAGTGACAGCCATGACCAGTTGCTTCGAGCAAGTCATCACGAGCCCTGAGCCTGACCACCCCAGGCTCGAGCCAAGATCGCGCAGACTGCAGTTGCTCGATACAGCAGTGGCGATCACGTTCCAGCTGGTACATGGCTTCTTGCACACACAATCGAAGGAGGAGCCGTGCCTAAGCAAGTCGTCGTCGATGCACGGAGGGGTCGAGCTTCGGGTTCATGATATGGGGAATGCTAAACAGCGTGCAAGGCGGCGGCATCGCCACCCAATCCGGCTCGTCCTCCCGCCACTTGCGTCACAGCTCGCTTCGGTGATCGGCTCGCGGGAGATTCCAGCGGGCAGCGGGATCCAATGCCTCAAGCGAGCACAAGCCCTTGAGCTCTGCTGCGGGCCCCAGTAACAGCTCGTAGAGACTGACACGTCGTAGCTGAGCCGTCACGTCAGCGATGCGCTTCACGACGCGTCGTCTCTGTCGCCCGGCGAGCTGGCCGGTCGCCGCCGCAGACGGGGGCGAAGCAGCAGCAAGATCGGTGACCAGCGTCTCTGGAGCTAGAGCCACAGCCTCGGGCTCCTCAGGGGCTCCTGCTGATCCTCGCCCTCGTCGCTGACGTGGTTATTGGGTTCTTCTCGTCAGCGGGCGCGCGAGGTCCAGGTCGGCTGGTGCAGTCGTCTCCACGCACCGTGCCAGATTGTCACCAAGAACCGTCTGCGTCGCATTCTGAGCTTCGGGATCTAACTTGTTGGCTTTGCCTCCAGGTCGGCCGCATGCCGTCCAGTCCTCAAGTCGCCAGCAGAAGGCCTCAAGAGCCCGAAGCACGTTCGGTTGCTTTGTCGGTTCAGCCACCGCCATGTAGGTGGTGACCCCAGGGTTGTCGATGATGGGTAGCAGGTCGTCACCGAAGCCTTCAAGGTCGAAATCCATCAGCGAGCTGACGTAGAGGCCGTTTGTTCCTTTCGGGGGTTGTCTTTCGGGTAGAGCGCCGATCATGACCGTGTCGCGATCTGTGTTGATGTTGGCCTTCACTGCCTTGATCTGCTGCTTGGACATGAAGGAAAGTGCCGCGCCAGGTGCTAGCGACCACTTGGTCACAGCATTGCGACCGAAGATTCTTGACGGCAGCAGGGCCTTGCTCACCGACGCTTGGCTGGCACTGTTGCGAACGCAGAGGGCCACCGTCGGCGCATCAGGAAGGTGCACTGGTTGTAGACCATGGTGCCGTCGCAGGTCGGTGCAGTGCGTGTCGAATGTCACCGGGCCCACCATCCCCCTAGCACGACCAAGATCGATGATCGACAGAAGATTTTCTTGCTCGATCTTAGGGCACCAATCCCGCCCCACTGAAAATGCTTTCGCTGGATGGTGGCAGAATCTGGTCGAAGGCCTGACCGCCCATGGGCAGGACAGGCACGGTGTGCAGGCACTCGACCTGAACATCAGACTGGATGTTGGCATTGACGAAGAATTGTCCCTTGGGCTTGGCCGTGTCGTTTGCGGTTGAGCTCGCCGCCGTGGATCGTCGAGGTTCTTTGCAGTCTTCCTGGAAGTATCCGACCTTCTGGCAATTGCGGCAGCGCGCTCGTGGTCGGTAAGCTTCCAGACTCGGCTTCACAAAACCTCGGCCAAATTGCACCTTACCATGTAGCTTGCACTGCTCTTCCCAGCTGCTGAGTGCGTCGATGAGGTCACGCTCGTCGATGGGTCCTGGATCATCTTGAACTCCATGATCGGCGAGCAGCGCCTCACACTCAGGATCATATTCTTCATCGGGCTGGACATCTTGTCGGGTGTCCGCCTCAGCCGCGCACCCCTGGTGGTGACTGGAGCTCGGCGACTTGCCCAGGCCAGCACGGTACGTGGTACGCAGTGCCTGGGAAACGTCAGCCCCCACGCCATGAGCCATTGGCGGCCGCCATAAAGACAGCCTCCTTCTCCAGCTCTGACCGACTCCCTTCTATCGTGATGATACCCTTAAGTCGGGCCTGTCCACACACAGGGGGAAAATTCAAAAATAGTCAAGGAATAGTCGGGGGACGAGGTTTTACCATTCTTGATCATATTTGGAATATTTTTGGGATATTTTTTTAAGATTTGTCGTCCAAAATCTGGCTGTAGGGGAACACGCCCGACCTAATGGTACCCTCGCGCTCCGCGTCGGAGAAGACAGCCCTTGCCCGAGCAGTGGAGGCGTTCGCCTTCTCGTCCCTGTTCCCGTGCGCAGGCGAAGCGACGTGCTCTCGTATGACCTCGCCGAGCTGGCCCCGGCGCGGGCCTCTCAGGGTAGCGGTCAGTCCGGTCGTCTTCAACGTCTTGTCGGAGGTTGCCAGAAGGTTTTGTTGGACAAGGCTGGCTTCGCTAGATTTGGGGCCCCCCCCAGCCCGACCTGAGGTCCCGCCGTCTCGATTTGAGGCCCCCAGCGGCCGTCGAAATCACCCTTCTTGAACCAGACCTTCTCGCCTTTCCCGGTCCCGGATGGCCTTGAAGGCGGCGCCAGTCAGGGGCGTCACCAGGGCGGAGCCGCGGGCGTCCGCTGGCACGTTCTTGGATCCGATCCTCGCACGTGCCTGCGTCCGCCAGGCCCTGGTACGCCTCTCGCTCTTCTCGCCCGAGAGGCGTCTGGCCGAGCCGCCGTAGTTCTCCGAGTCGGCCCTGGCAGAGGCGGGGCAAGACTCGGAGCTCTGACCGAAGATCGCGAGGAGCCGCATGACGCAGATGAGACAGAGGACGAAGTGCGCCGCCTGGCGCAATGCGGGAGACACTCCGCGCTGCCAATGATGTGGAGCCACGGGCGAAGCGGAACGGATGTGAGTCACGAGGGGTTTTGGCACAGCCACTGCACCTGAGAGCGCAATGCTGCGGCATACAGCACGAATCTTCATGGACACGTACGGAGCAGCACAGATCTTTGGATCAGCACCCAGGGCCGAAGGATTGCAAAAAAAC